GCCACTTAATCGATCTCACTGCTTCCTGGGTCACAGCGGCTCTGTGACCCAGGAAGCAGTGAGATCGAGTAAGTGGCCGCCGGCTGCTTTTCATTTTCTGAGTCACGATCCCATCCGTGGGCTGCGCTGTCCGGCTCCATCCGTCCTCCCACCCTCTTCACAAGCAGGCAAGCCGCCCTCCACTCCTACACACAGACGGGCTCCGGCTCTCCCCTCCTCTTCACAACATAGGCGTTTGAATACGGCCGCCCCCCAGGAAGGTGCCGCCCTAGGCAAACGCCTACTTTGCCTCGCGGTAAATACGCCCCCTGCACTGCACCCCATACATTATACATTATTGACTGCTGTCCTCTGTATGATATTTTGTACTTCACTCTCACAGTTGTTGGTTGCCAATGGTCCCCCGACCCCAACTTTCTTACTAAAGTTCTCCTTTAAGCCGGGCTCATCTAAAGTGTCAGTTATGTGTCTACATTGTGTATGAAGAAACACATAAATCTTGGAAAGGTTTCACTTTTCACAGACGTCTCTTTGTCTGGAGGGTTATCTATAGTCTGTGAGATTGTCACTGGTGGGAAATGTGTGCAGCGTATACAGCGAATAGTCTCCCGTTCTAGTTGGAATACACTTCTTTGGACCACGCTTTCTTTTTGGCGCACTCAGGGCCGGATTTCCCACAAGGCCATCCAGGTGCAGCCGGGAGCAGAGGGGCGGCAGGGAGCAAAGGGGCGGCAGGGGTGTGGACTCTCCTGACGACCGGGACATGTAGTTCCGAGCCCCGGGCGGGTACTTGTTTTCTTCTTTTGGCCCTGCTTTGGGCAAGCAGAGCTAGATGTAGAGCGGGGAAGCCGCTCGTTCGTTTACAAGTGATCTCGGTGATGTCGCCGAGATTTACTTGTATGCAGCCTGCAGGTCCCTCCGGCCCCCGCCGGAACTTTCCCCTCTCAGCTGTCACAGGAGTTCCAGCACAGTCCTGTGCTAGAATTGCTGTGTTGGAGGTGACAGGTTCAATAAAGAGAACCTGCACCACCAAATGCTATCGCACAGGGGCTTGTTAGCTCTACGGTCGTTCTATTCAGTAGTGATTGAATCCAGAGGATCAGTATGACGGCCAGCATTTTCTGAAAGGGAGGTCAGCAGTGGTTCTCCTGATGGGCCGGCAGTTAGCTTAGCGTCCAGCAGGGGGCGATCGCACCCCGCGTGCGGCTCTCTCCTGTCACGTGACTTAAATGTCCCAGCGGGGGCGCCACGTGACTGGAGTGGGGCCGCGCCGGGGCGCGCTCTCGGGAGCCGGTACCGTTCGAGGCGGTTGTGGAGTCACCTGATAGCCTCATGCCGGGGCAGGCCGGTAGGAGCGAGCATGACCGCGAAGAACGGCGAGTGTGAGTGGGAGGAGGAGGAAGAAGAAGAAATGGAGCAGCGCCGACGCCCGGACATGACCCTGGAGTTGCAGCTGAGCGCCTTCTCCCCGGAGCCCGGATCCCTCGAGGATGAGGATGACGAAGAGACGGCCAGCTTGCCGGTGCCCGGGCCGAGGAGGATCCGCTCCAGCAGCTCGCGGCCCCGCTATGAGATCGTCACGGAGCTGGGCCCGGAGGAGGTGCGCTGGTTCTACAAGGAGGACAAGAAGACCTGGAAGCCGTTCATCGGATACGACTCCCTCCGCATCGAGCTGGCCCACCGGAAGCTGCTGGAGCTCACCGGAGAGCTGGTGGTGTACCTCAGTGACCTCAGACAACCCTTGTCCCCCCTGTGCCCGGTCTACTAGAACCACGAGTGACAGACGACCCTCATCACCCTGTACCCCGTCTACTGGAAGCATAAGTGACCACCATGGTCCCCCCTGTACACTGTCTACTCGAACCATAAGTGACAGAAGGCCACCCTCCGTGACCTCAGACAACCCTTGTCCCCCTGTGCCTTGTCTAATGGAACCATAAGTGATATCAGGCCCCCTTGTTCCCCAGTAACTTACCTTCTGGAACCTTAAGTCAGGGGACCAGTGTCTAGAGAAAACATTAAAGATTAGGTGCCCCCTGGCATTTTTAAGGAGTGCTGGCTAAATGGCTCCTTGGCATTTGTCCTAAGTAACCTGACTGTCATTGTCCCCCTGTGCCCTCTGTACACAAATGATCAACTCCAACACCTGTCAGAGCTCCTACATCATACCTAAAACCCTCCCGCTATCCCAATGTACTGGAATCATACTGGCCACCCTTTGTCACATGCCCCATGTCCCCCAAAGTTTTGGACAAGTCCAAGCCTATACCCTGTCTACTGAAACACAGTGGCCCCTGGTGTACTTTTTGTTAGACACAAGTGATGAGGCATTTGACGGCTGTCCAGTGCTCCCATCTGCTCCCTCCATCATCCTTATCCCTCCTGAGACCTGTGACCCTCATCCCATGTCGTATCAAGTTCCCCTGTACCTTGGTATAAACAGAATGATCACCTTCGTCCCTCCTCTTCCATGCCCTCTTCTATTCTCCCTTTCCCATTTGCAAGAACTGCATTGACCCCTGTCACCCTGTGTCCCCCTGCGCCATCCACATCCTCTGGACTCTTTCTATGAACATCCTGTGCTCACTCCATCACTGGCGGACCATCAGTTACAGTGCGGTGACTGCAGGGGGACATGCTGGCACAACTGCTTGAAGTCTGACTGAGGACCACACAATGAAACTGTCACAGGTTGGCTCAATAAATCAGGAAATGAGCGAACGCATACCGTCTCTCGCTCACTTCTCGATCTATCCCTGCAGAGAGCCGTGGCTGTCGCTCACGGCTCCCTGCAGGGACTCCTCCCCTGTCCGATCCTCCAGCGCTGACTGGCGGAACAGACGGGGAGGGGACGGGTACAGCTGGCTCTGCCTCTAGATAGGAAGAGCCAGCTGTCACTCACACAGCTTGGTGGCTCCAGACAGTAATGTTGGGATCCGTCCCGGCTGCGGCGTCTCAGTCGCTCGCGGTATACTGAGCTTAGGGTGACGGGAGGACGCTAGGTTGTGTCCTCCCGTTACCCTTAGGAGAACTATGGGGAAAAGCCCTGACCCTATAGTTCTCTTAAGTGTTGTCACCCTAGTAAAGGAATTGCCGATACAAACTTTGCTGTTTGTGATGTTTGAAGACAGCAGATGTATATAAATACCTGACATTACAGGAACACGTGCAGCTAGATAATTGGGTACGGTGATTCTTTTTTGATGGATTTTTTAAAGATGAACTGGGATAACAAAAAATATTGTGTGTATTCTTCCTTGAATCTCCGTGAGCTTTGTGTATTTCTTCCAGATCTGTGCAGTAATCCAGTGTGACACTTGGAGCTTCCTGTAATGAAGACCGCTCACTGCTGTTTTCTCTCCTTGTGCAGGGTGACTGGTCTTGTCTCCGCCCCCTCCTGTAATAAAGACCGGTCACTTCTGCCCTTTCTCCTTGTGCAGGATGACTGGTCTTGTCTCCATCTCCACAACCTTCTCTACCTTTATCTCACCTTTTATACTTGTTGTACAGTACTGCCTGACACCCGTTTCCCCTTCCTACAACCGTCTTACTATATCCAGTGTCACCTTTTGTCTGTCATAAGAGGCCTGGTGTCATTGCATATGTGTTGTATTGTCTCCTCTAGTGTCCTCCTCGTATTGTCTTTCAGCTGCCATGTTCCCCAAATAGCTCAGAATGGATATCGCATACCATGTCGCAGAGTACTTATAGCTGTCCCCTTTACCCCCTTATATCTGTCCTCTTTGTGATCCAAGTGTCTCTATCTTTTTTTTATGTCAACCCCCGTGTTCTATTCCTTAAAGTGTCCCTCCCCCCCCAACAGGATCTCCATGTTGTGTTGCCCGCATTCTCCAGGGACCGGTCCCTCTTGTGCATACCACCACCTCTTACTGTCACCATCTTTAAAGGAGAACTATGGGGTCAGTGTTTTTCCCCATAGTTCTCCTTAGGGTAACGGGAGGACACAAACTAGCGTCCTCCCGTTACCCTAAGCTCAGTATACCGCGAGCTACAGCTCGCGGTATAATGAGACGCCGGAGCGGATCACGACGTAGATGCCGGGATCCGCCCGCCCCCCCCCTCCGTTCTGCCAGTCAGCTCTGGCAGATGGGAGAGGGGAATACAGCCCCTGTCACGGCAGAGAGCCCTGACAGGATCGAGAGGTGAGCGAACCCGCCGACCTGTGACAGTCTCATTGTCACAGGTCGGCTAGAACTATGAGGTGAGTGAAAAGCACTCACCTCATAGTTCTTCTTTAAGTTCCTCTTGTCAATCTTTTATTTACAGGAACCGTTGCTCTCACCTCTTAAGACTCCCATCTCTTCCCTTCTGTCACTCTCTAGGTACCCAAGCCTGACGTCATTTGTTTTCACTCCTTGGAGGCATACTTGCTATTCATGTCACTTGCAGTGGAAATCCTTTTTACCCTTTCTATCACCTCTGGGAGGATTGCCCTCTGTCGCTCCTGTTACTCCCTGCGGCATGTCACTTAGGGGTGCACACCCGAGGTCCCTATTGTCACCTCCAGGGATGGGCAAGCACACCCTTTGTTGCTTCAGTTACCTTCAGGGGAGGGAGGGCACACTGTCTGCCGTCCATGTCACCGTCAAGAGTGAGCGGACACACCTTCTGGTGCTCCTATCGGCTCTATTGGGAGGAAAGCAACCTCTCGCTCCTGTCCTATCCATGCATTGGGGGGCAGACACACCTTCTGGTGCTCCTATTGGCTCAATTGGCAGGAAAGCAACCTCTCGCTCCTGTCCCATCCATCCATGGGGAGGAGAGAGGGGGGGGGGCAGACACACCACCTGGTTCTCCTATCGACTCCATTGGTAGGGGGTGCAACCTCTTGTTCCTGTCCCATCCATGCATGGTGGAGGGGGCAGGCACACCTTCTGGTCCTCTGATCACACCCCTAGGCAAGGAATGCATCCTCTTTCTCTCCTGTCACTTTCAGGGGAAGACGGGTGCCTCCGCTGTTGCTTCTGTCACCTCCAGTGGTGGGTGAATGCCCCCTCCCAATGCACGATCTGTTGCTCCTGTCACCTTCAGGACCGCTCTTTTTTCATTTCCTGGGGTGGTTACCTGTGTCATTCCTGTTACCTGTGTCATTCCTGTCACTTCAAGGATCGCTCCACCCAATGTTATCCCACTTGTCACCACCAGGGAACATCTCCATTCTTTCAGTCATATTTCAGGCCCACCCTCCTGACCGCCTCAGGATTTCCTCTTCAGATAGTCCACAATGCTGCTTGCCATAGTGACTACTCTGGCGTAAAGTGTTGCCCATTGTTGTGGTATTGGCAGACCGATTTCTGATTGGTTGCCATAGTTTACCTAATCTAACAAGATGTTGCAATCCCTCTTCTTTCTTCTCTTTAATAATGAATGGAACAGATGACGGAATAAAGCTTTCACGATTGTTTTCACCATCCTCTTCCTCACCTCTCCCCAGAGAGCCCGTGCCGGCCATTAATTCCATCTTCCTCCTGAGTCATCAGTGTGGCGTTTGGCCTCCGATATTAGTGTGGAGCCTCCGGAGAATCATTCGTTTTAATTAACAAGCGCTCCGGAGCATGTCACCTGCACACAAAGCTCTTCATCCTCCTGTGCAAAACTAACACGACCTTTGTCAGCAGTTCACGTTTTCTAAGCGTAAGCGAGCCTGATCTGTGTTGGGAGGACGTTTCAGCAGTCGCTGATTTTTCCAGAGAGCGCTACTTCCAAAATGTCGGAATGCCAGCAATTCAAAGTAGATGCAAAAAACCTGAACACTCAAATAATCCTTTTCATTATTTTTAAACTGCAGGTTTTATTAATACCTGAAGGTCCTTGTGCAGGCACTTCCTGTTCTGGGTGACAACGCTCTGTCACTTTGTCCTTGTTCTCCTGTTTTATCGCTCTGTCAGTGGAGACTACAAGCGTCTGTACAGATACTCGTAATACAGCCACGGTCCACTGTTGTCACCATCAGGAAACTGGCCCTGAGAAATGCCATGGAGCCATCGCTGGAGTGCATGCAGACAGGAAGTGGCTGCAGAGGATCAGTAGTGCAACAAAGTGTTTTTTATTTAATGAAGAACTATGAGGTGAGTGATTTTCACTCAGCCTCATAATCTGAGCCCACCTGTGACAATAAAACTATTACAGGTCGGCTCAGTAGATCGGGAGGTGAGCGAACACATACCGGCGCTCGCTCACTTCTCCATCTATCCCTGTAGAGAGCCGTGACTGTCACTCATGGCTCCCTGCAAGGATCCCCCCCCTGTCCGATCCTCCAGCGCTGACTGGCGGAACGGAAGGGGGGAGTGGGCGGGTTCTAGATAGGCAGAGCCAGCTGTCACTCACGCAGCTGGGTGGATCCAGACAGAATTGTCGGGATCCCTTCCGGCTGCGGCGTCTCGGTATACCGCGAGCTGTAGCTTGCGGTATACTGAGCTTTGGGTGACGGGAGGACGCTAGTCTGTGTCCTCCCGGTACCCTTAGAAGAACTATGGGGAAAAGACCTGACCCCATAGTTCTCCTTTAAAAAAACCAAAACATGACCATTGTATAATGCACGGTGCGTTATCACATCAAGAGCCAGGTCACACGGGCAGGGCCCTCTTCACCATCTTATCTTGACTGGTATTGTCACTGTACTGTCTCTTTTATATGGTTGATTGCTGTGCAGACTGTTGGCTCTATATAAATCCTGTATAATAATAGCTTTGCCCTAAGGGCACGGTACCATCCATGCACCACATGCTAGATATGTTGCATTTTTTATTACTGTTGAACGTTGTTGAATTGCCGTTCTTTTTGAATGGCACCCTGTATTGTGGTACCTTGTATTGCAACACGCACCCACTGAGAGGTGCGCTGGGGTGCCATTCAGAATGAATATCAACTCGGCACACCTAGCATGGTGCAATAACGAGCACTAAATGCATGGGTGTAGCGACCCCTCCCCCCAGGGATTTGATGTCCTTGTGCTACCTGTAGAGTATCCAATGATCTCACATTAGCACTTTATGATTTTTACCAATTCCAGAATGCTGAATCGTCGCACGG